AATCTCAAGATTTCCAACCACAGCTGTATATTACTTGCCAAAATTGAATCTTTAAAAAACTCTGAAACTTTATACCTTTTGGCTTGTTCTTTGTTCGATAAGCCGGGGTTTTGATTGATGATCGTCGAATACTAATTGCTACTTTCTTATCCTTAAAGCCACTCTTTCTTCCAGATACTTTTGCTCATTCGATAGATAGAGAGCTCATGTATTGTTGTATACCCATACAAACAATAGTTTTGCTAGATTCAGATGCTTTAGCAATTGAGAGTAAAGATGCAGAAAAATTCGCTAGATTGTTGTGCAGAATTTTTTTTCGTTTTTTATTAACTGTTTCAATCACAATTTAGTTCATATAAACATTTTGACTTGTTTGTTGATGTTTTTAATTAATACTATAACTACTTAAAGTAATTACGCAAAAAAAAAAAATACATTAAAAATGTGTTTGTGACAAGTTTTAAAACGAAAATCATCGTTTCAACTTTAACGGTTGCATGCTTTAGTATAGATTTAAAGATATGAATAACCTTTGATTATTAAAAAAATAAAAAATAAACATTCTATTCCTTTAAAGAAAACACGAAAGACAAGAGCCGCTTGATTTTTGCGGTTCCGACTCCGGCTCCACAAAAAAACAGCGGCTCCCCGCTGGACCGCTTTGGACCGCAAAAGTATTCAACTATATAACTGAAATTTTAATTCTAAAAAGTACTTCAAATGCCCCGTCATTTGAAACCATTTTATTTGACATAACATACATGCAAAATAGTATCGTAATAGCTCCTTTGAAAGATCATACTTAATTTTATTAAATTATGCTATAAAAAGTTAGGTTTTAAAGTTAACATCTTTTCCATGCTTATTAGTAACATAAAAAATACTATCAAATTTAAAAAAAAATTTAGAAATTTTTTTTTTTAAAAAAAAAGCTTTTTATTCTATAGCTTAGAAGCATACGTCATGATAATTTTACTAAAATATATACATTTTAGAAAAGTTAAATCTTTAAGCTATAAAATGGTATATAATAATAAAATTTTTAATAATGTATTTTTTTACTTTTGTCCACCACCTCGAGATGACTTGAATAAATTAAAATTAAAAAGAAGCAAACGTTACTCATTGTTAAATCTATACTACTGTTTCCAAAAATACTATTGTTTGTTGATTTTAATTAGATATGTGAATTGTAATATACACTTTTACACCCACCCCATCTTACTACAGTAACAAAACAGTAAATGTTAATGTACAATAAATAAATTTTGGCATGCTTTCAGAGCATAGGCGTAGAGTTTTACTTTTCACGAAAATCGAATTATCTTGTTCTTTTGAAATGCCATTGCCACAACTCTTGATCTAGATCCTTTGACCAATGAGTTTGAATAAATCTCATTTAAATTAAAAATTATTCCAATAGACAAGAAAAAAAGCGCTCAAACGTACATGAGGTAACAGACATACATAATAAAATTTTCACCAGCTTCACAAACTAGAGAATCAGTGGATTAATTGAGAAGACTTCATTGGGGACTACCAGCTCGCTCAAAACTGATTCAAAATTGTTTAGTTAAATATTCTTGAATTTGGCATAATCCACAATTACATCGCGATGCAGTTTTAGTCTTTCATATTCTTCAAAGTTATCTTTGTAAAAAGCCTCAACCAATTCTAAATTTAAGCACTGACCAATGATAAATTTTTGCAACATTTGCTAAATGCTCATTGGTCTCAATTAGTTTGAAACAGATCTCAAATCACATTAAAACATAATTCTAAGATGCATAGTAAAGCTAACGGTTGTTATCCTTTGGAGTCGTAGCAAAATAACTCTTTTTCTAGTAAATTGCGATGTAATCTTACGTTTCCGTGGCATTTCCCATTTATAAAGTACATACCATAAGACTTTAAAACAAATATCACTCCAGACTTCATTTAACCCCTCATTCAGCGCGTCAATGGAATTTTTTGCTTTTGCAAAAATTGAGTTGTTTGTTTAAAACGTTTTTTGATAAAAGTTAATAATTGTAATTTGCTTAAAATAGTATATTTCGAAAAAAAAATCTAATAAAACAAAACAAAACAACATTTGCATTAGAATCTGTATAGCAATTTCATGATCATGCGCAAAATTTCCAGTAGAAAATGTGTCGAACTTACAGAAAGATTCCAGATAACCTTCTGCTTCTAACTTATTCTTGGCTAAATTGTCAGAATGGTCTTTAAAATATTCTAACCAGTTGATAATAGAAGAATAGTTACTGATAATAGATATAATGGATGGCTCTCTTAGAATTCATCGAGTGGGGTATTCAATATTTTAAGATCCTTTACAATGCAAAATTTATTGAAACATGCCAGGCATTTTATAGATTCACGAGCAATTGTAATGAATGATTGGAATATATTTATTATATTCCTAATCTCTGTATGATATTGTTTTCAATTTCAGGTAAGAGCCACTTTTGCTTTTCAGGACGATTGAACCATTTATTCAACTTCAGAGCGTCTGCTCGTAGATTTAGTAGCACGCGTGAGTTTAAAATATTTTCTTTTTTTTTAAGAATGACAATACCTTCTTTTCTCTATTATGTAAAGAAGAAAAATTTAGTAACTTAGTAAACTAATTAGTATAATGAGTGATATTTAATCTAAGTTTTTCTTAAACGAAATTTTGAAATTACCAAAAAAATAGTTGTAAATATTTTAGATAAAGCCGTGCAATTATTCACCATTTTTTGCATTCGGTCAGGATCAGACTGGCACTGAAGGGCCTGGGGGTAGGGGAGAGACATAGATAGGGCTCTTATGGTAGCAAAAATTAGGCAAAAATAAGTTAAACCCTTAAACGCATAGTTTCTATGTTATAAGGGTGTAGGAGATTTCTTATAATGTGCATGCAAGTTTCCATATCTTTGACCATGCACTCCGTCCAGTTATTCATTCGACACGTTTAAAAAAATAAATCCATATCAAGGTTTTATATATATAGTAATTCTAATTTGCAACACTGCACCACTTTATTTTCTGCACATTATTACCATGTTAAAATGGATTTATGGTTATGTTAACCAAACACGATTTTTATTTTATTGTTTAAAGAACATAGCCATTAACATATAATTAAAAATCAAAAATTTTAATTTTAGTTTTATAATATGTTATTTTATTTTAATATAATAAAATTTTTTTAAAAATTAAATATTAAAACATTTTCTAAAAAATGACGGTTTTTCAGAATAACTCAGTTTACTGTATTTAAAGCTGAACTTCAATTGTATTTTACTATATATTTTTTATAAATACAAAAAACTGAAATATAATGTTTACTATAAAACTGAAATATAATGTTTACTAAAAAATATTTTAAATAATAAAATCTCTAGCTCCATTAAATATTTCTGAACCTCTCTGATGGGAAGCACCGGCTTCTTAAAGCCAGTGCTTCCCATCCATATTATTGCTTATATAAAATACAAAACAAAAAAATCATAGATAGGGGGGAGGAGAGTTGAAATGTCACTCCTCCCCTCTACACACACACACACACACACACACACACACACACACACACACACACACACACACACACACACAAACACACACACACACACACACACACACACACACACACACACAAACACACACACACACACACACACTCACAAAATTGATGCATATAAACAATAAATAGTTATTCTTAATTTATATTTTTGTACGTTTTACTTGTGCATCTTGATTTATTGTGAGGCACTGGATCTTCATCCGCTCTTTAGTTTTTGTAGTTGATGTGTTTGTTTACCTTTGTTAAATCTCAATCTCCCATGACTCATCAAAAGCTTGGAATTTTTGAAATTCTACGAAATGACTTTTCAACAAACTTGAACTTTTGAAAACATTTGTGGAAATATTTTTATTGTTTTTAAGTTTTTCTTTTTGTTTATGTTTAAGTATGCTATGATTTTTAAGTTTTTAATTTTTTAACGCGTGATAAGTTTTACCGGGTCGGGCTGAACCCCAGCGACAAATTCCTGGATGGGGCCCAAGCCCCATAAACTTTCTGAAACATAAGCATTTACGCTTATGTTTCAGAATGTTTTTTTAAGTATTTCAGAGGTATGCAGTGAATTCAAATTCTTTTAATCTGCGTCTGTTCAAGTTCTGTAATTGAAGTGCAGCTCGCTCTACGAATCTTTGATTTCAAAGATTCGTAGAGCGAGCTAGATTCTATTGGGTTGACATTTGGGTTGTTATTGGGCCACTCCAAAACATTAACACCTCTGCTTAAGAAGCATGCTAATGATTTTTTGATGAAAGGCAACTTGCATTATAGAAAGTTATAGAAATATTATATTATAGAAAGTCGGTTGATGAATATAGAAAGTCGGTTGATGAATTTCAAAAAGGTTTCATTTTAAACACCTTATATAGCTTTCAAGTTTAATGTTGCTGGAAGAAAGTATAGTGTTCCACTGCCATGTTTGCCACTAAAACAACTCTAAACCTTTACATACGCGCTACGTTTGACAGTTCTTTGGATGTTTTTAACATTGAATCTGTCAAAACTACGGAGGCGACGTACTCGCGTTTGATCTCAACCTATCAGTGAAAAGCAACTTTAGAGTAGAGAAAAGTGTGAAAAAAGCTCAACATTTTTTTTAGCATGGCAGGAGGGAGGTGCTGAAAAGTCTAATAATAATTGACATAAACAACATCGCTTAACCTTGACAGTGTTTGAAAAAGGGGAGGAGGTCGAAAACCCAAGAAAAATCATTGAAATTGTTAATGGACGACCCTTAAAAAAAGGTTTTCAAGAAATTATTAAGAAGTTGAAAAATACTGATTGAAGAGAAGAATACGTGTTATTTTTTTTTTACAAAAAAATAAAGCCCACAGCGAAATAAAAAAGGTCGAGTAAGAAGCTTAGGGGAATCCCCAAGCACCTTCTCGAGGATTATATATGTCCCCGGGTGACACGTAAATCTCGGATAACTCGTTAAACGCGCGAACATGGAATACCTATTAATGGTATTTAAAAAATTTAACTTGTTTTACTTTTATCAGTTAGATGAATTTAAATAAATAGTTTGAAATAATTTCTACTTCATGAGGGATGCATGCATTATTTGTTTATATTTTTCCGACAAAACTGTATTCAGTTTTTAAAAATGCTGCAAAATTCAAATCTTTCAAAAGCTGACCAAATCAACAAAAATTCAAGTAAAAAAAGGAATCTAGGGATCAATAGAAGAAGCCGTTTTTCGCTAAATAAATCTTTTAACACAAATCATGATTTTATTGAAAATAGTTCACTAACTAAGATTAGCTCACAAAGTAACAATAACAATTATGAAACCACTCTTACCAGAACTACTGCTAATAATAACACTTCCATAAAAAAAAAAACAGGAAAATCATTAATGAATATTAATGTAACTTCTAATAAAGACCATGATAAAAGTATGAAACTTGAGGAGTATAATTTTGATGATACGTTATGTGATATACCTTATGAAATTTTTGATAAAAATGATGTTACATTATGCATTGAACAAAGTCAGTTAAAATCAAATTGTATTGATGGAGAAAGTGATGAAAGCTGTTCTGATATTATCCCAGAGACACCAAATCAAACTATTAGTACTCATGATCAATGTTTTTCATCAACGCCACTTTTTTTAATGAATGAACCTAACTTTGAGGCTACCATAATCAGTTCTCAGAAAAATTTATTGGAAAATCTTAATGATTCTAATGAAAAAATATTAGCATGTTTAAATGTTACTGAACTTTCATCCTCTGCTAATTCCAACAATGAACAATCCAATAATGATACATTTTACGATTTACCAATTGGAGTTAGGGATTACTTGTTTCAAATACGAGGAATCAAAAGTTTATATAGTAAGTGTAGTAACTTAGTGCAAAACTGTGTATAAACAATAAAAGCAGTACTTTTTTTTATTTTTATTTTATTTAACTCTTCGATTATTATAGTAACAAATAATAAATTAGCAAAATAATTTTTGGAAAAAATACTACCAAAGTCCTGGTTATTTAAAGAAGGAGTCTATGACAACAGTTTATTGTAGTAGAAGTTTTTTTTTAGTAATTTTTCAATTTCTATATTTTTATGAATAAAATCATTAATTTTGGATTTAAATAAAAATGATTTTAACTTTGTAATTATTGTTATTTTTTTTTACTAATAGCTTAAAAATAGTTTGTTATAATATTAGGTTGGCAAAAACATTGTCTAAAACTTTCTGCTGTCAGAAAGCGTAAAAATCTTATTTATTCTTTACCAACAAGTGGTGGAAAAACATTAGTTGCAGAGTTGTTAATTATGAAAGAAATTCTTAAACAAAAAAAAAATGCAATATTTGTTTTGCCTTATGTTTCAATTGTACAAGAAAAAGTATGAGTAAATTTTTTTTTAAGTTTTTATATAGATGTAAAAGTGATTTTTTTTATGTAGAGCCTGCAGATAAAAGTCTTTTATTAGTAATTTAAGGTAACCTTCCATTAACATAAAGTTTTACCACAATAATAATCACACAATGCTATACTTTTTAGAGTAGAATTTTATAATCAACTTATATTTATATAAATTATATATATAAAGAATTTTCAAATACATTCAGAAATCTGAAAAGATTAAAAAATATATATTATCTTAATCTACAACAGTTCAAATACTGCCCTGAAACATATTGGTTTCTTAATAAATTATTAAAATTAATTATTATTGTTATATTATCTATATAAAAATAACATGTATATGTAATAACAATTAGTTGTTGTTATTATTTCAATCATATTATTTATGTCATGATACAGCAATGCTTTTATTATAATATCTCTCTATTCCTATTATTATTTTGAATTAATTGCAGCTTTATATAATTTTCTTACTTTTTTACCCTTCTTTAGATTAATAGTTATCAGCTAACTAGTTTTAAAGTTATAAATCAGACCACAAAGTTTTAAAACTTAAGTATATTGTTTTTTTCTCTTAAATTATAGATTGCTTGCTCAAACCAAACCCTCAGTCGATGTAGTTGCACTTTCTTGTAGCAGCAGGCTATAAGATAGTCGATGTAGCAGCACTCCCTTGTAACAGCAGGCTATAAGATAATCAATTAACATTTACTATTTAACTATTGAATAATTAATGTACATTGACTACATTTTATGTCACCTAAAAATCAAAGCAATTAAAATAAAGCCGAAGTAAATTAAGTTTCATTGTTTTTTAAAAAATAGCAATAATAATGACTAGAAAGTTTTTAATTAAAGTTTTTGTTTTTTAAAAACTTATGCACAGAGTTTTGCTACATAGCAAAACTCTGCATGTTTTAAAAATATGGTTTAAAAAAAAAATCATTAATTAAAAAATTTTCTAGTCATTATTATTGCTGATTTTAAAAAACAATAAAATTTAATGTACTTCTGCTTAATTTTAATTGCTTTGACTTTCAGATCACATAAAATGTAGCTTATTTGTTGAAGTCACATAATTGTTGTTAAAAGGTTTTTATTATTATTATTATTATATATATATATATATATATATATATATATATATATATATATATATATACATACATACGTATGAGATTTTCTATTTAACGGAATCTGTACCACTTGCACATGACAAAATGCATTATTTTGGTCTAAATAAAACAAACTTTGAGTTGCATTATTTGAATTAGATTGTTTTATAGTTTCTTTAAATTACAAAAAAAAAAAATTTTTGTTTATGGGTGTTTTTTCAGATGCTTACATAATCTTTTCATATTGTATTCTACATTTAAAAGGATTTTTCAAAGGTGCCACCTTTAAAATTTTTTTTTAAGGTTGCACCTTTTCTTCTGAGCATGCATGCATGAGATTTTCTTCTAAGCATGCATGCATGTTTCAAAGATTCAAATGAGATTTTAGAGGAGATGTAGTTGAGTGTAGTTAATTCAGTAATCAAATTTTACAAAAATGTTATAAAGTTTGACAGAGTTTCGCACTAGGCCTTGCTATGCTTACATACAGCTTACATACTTAGATACAGTTTCATTTTTTGCAAGTGTTCTGATGCTGCAACCAGGACTTTAGAATATTGACAGATTTTGGTTGATTCGGAAAAGGGATAACCTTGTGGTACATTGAAATCTAGTTGTTCAAGGTTTTGATTGATTTTGAGTTGTTCTATAAGATTTTATAGAAATCTTTCAAAACAACTCCACCCTTTTCATCCTCTCTTCTAGTTATTGTCAGTACTAATGCTTCTAATTTTTTTAATAAGAATGGAGTTTATTAATTTTGGGAGTTTATTATTTTTGTTGCATGATGTTAAATTTGCTCTAATTTGTTTATATTGCCATTAAAGTGTGGTTACCAGGCTTAGATTGTGAACTCTAGATAAGGTTGAATGTATGTATAAAATTGGCTAGAGAAATATACTGCGTTCTCTGAAAGATTTTTTTTTAGCATATCTAGTTTCCTGTTTGCTTTTGCTGCTGCTGTATCTACTTGTGATCTTAATTTCAAATTATCAGACACAAAAATACCTAGGTCATATATGTTAAAATTTAAAAATCTTTGTTGATGTTTTTAAAATTTAAAAACCTTTGTTGATGCTTTCTTGTTATTTTAAATGATGGTGTTAAAAAGTTCTTATTACTTGATGGTATTAAAATATCTTATTTGCCCTAGGTTTTTTTGTCTGGATATCTTTTGTTTACAAAGTTTGCAGAGTTTGTTCCCAGAAGCAATATTCTTCAAACTACTTTTAACTAGTAAGTGACTAGGGTTGAAATTTGACCAGGTCTAGGTCTGATAAAAAATGTTATAGTAAATTGTTAGAGTAAGAAATTGAGCATGATAATGAGATGCAACCTAAGCAGATTACTTAACATTTTATCACATCATGGTAAATAAAGTTAAAGTAACAAAAGATTTGATAGATAATGAATGGTTAATGATTAAAAGCTCTGTTTGCAGAAAAAACAGAGAAAAGGGAGGCAACAAAAAAAAAAAAAAAATTAATGAGGATATTGAAGTAGGTAATACTGAAATCTTACATTCATCAGTGATTAAGAATTTAGTTTCACTGCTAGTGAAAAACAAGGATTCTCTAGAGAAACTATATATTGATCAAAAGAAGATTGTTGAAAAATGAACTTTTATAATGTATAAGTAATGTATTGTATTTGTTTGCAACCCTCGGAGTTAGCAAAAATGAGGTTGGCAATATTTTGCCGACCTCAATCTGTTCAAGGTCGGCATCAAGTCGGCAAAAAAAACGACTCTAATTTCAAGGGTTGTTTTTATAATAGTTAACTGTTTATATTTGATATTTATTCAAAAAAAAAAAAAAAAAAAGAATATGTTTTTAAAGTAATGACTTTCTCCTTAATTCTTTTTTTATTTTATTTGTTTGCAACCGAATCTCCTTAAAAATTGGAAAAATATTTCCTTGAAATTCTTATTTTTATTGCCAGTTTTAATAATGGTACCTTACTACAATACCACTAAACCCCACCACAGCAGTGCTACATTTAACCTGTTTCTCTGCACTGCGTCTTAGGTTTTTGTTTCAGGTTAACGGCTGAGAGAAAGTTTTATAAAAATTTTATTTTATTTGTTTGAGTATATAGACTTAAGAACAAAATTGTTATTGTTAAATCCTTAGACTTTGTTCTCTAGATCTTTAAATAGATTTATAGTTTTTTTTTAGAATTCAGGGTTTTTTTATTTTTTTTATTTTAAAATATATGTCTGTATAAATATAAAAAAGGGAATGGAAAGTTTTTTAATGGATCAAATCTCTCAAAAAAAACTGGATAAAGCCAGTTTTTTTTAGAGAGGTCTGATCCATTAATAATCCAATGATTTCTTAGCTCCATGAAATATACATTTTCCTCATGTCAAGTCTTATTTTTTTTTACCAATTTTACTTTTCTTACCCATATTTTCTTTATAAAAAAGGTTAAAAAAAATGTGTAAATGTTTTAACCCAAGGTAGTGTGCAAATATATTTTACCGTTACTTTTTGGTATTTTATAAGGTTCGTGAGTTATCGCCATTTGCTGTTGAGTTTAATTTTCATGTGGAGGAATATGCAGCAAGCAGAGGTATCTTACCTCCAAGAAAAAGAAGGAAAAAAAATTCAGTATACATTGCAACCATTGAAAAAGTAATACTTGCATTTTACAGTATATAAATAAAAATCCAAAAAAAACAACAAAGTATTAGTATTCTATATTATTGATTGTTAGTATCTATTTTTCTTAGATAATTATTATTTCATCAACCTATTACAGTATCTACTTAATATTACATATCTAACTAATATTACATATCTACCTAGCATGACATTACCTTTATTACTAACTAGCTATAATTACTTTCTTAGCTATAAATATCAACTATAGCATATTTATATGCGCAATTGCTCACTTTTTTTGCTAGCCTAAATTAAGTGAGCGTTTTTAGAAAACGATGAGGGAATACGAAGAATTATGAATGAAAAGGTTGCTGACCCATATTAAACCCTCAGTCGATGTAGCAGCACTCCACTGCGAGTCAGGCTATTTGTCAGTCGATGTATTTATTGAAGCCCCCGGTAGCAGGCTATTTGACGTTAGGTGAGTATGACATCATCATGCTCACTTAACTTAGCAGTATAAGATATATATATATATATATATATATATATATATATATATATATATATATACATATATATATGTATATATATATATATATATATATATATATATATATATATATATATATATATATATATATATATTATTGCATTTACATTTTCTCTTATTTTGACTTATAAAAAAATATTACGAAGTTTCTGTCTTATTTCATATTTTTGCATAAACTTTGTGTGATAAGTTTTGAACTATTTTTTTGTTAATTTTTTGTTGTTATTAGGCCAATGCAATTGTAAACAGCTTAGTTGAGCTCAACCGTGAAGATGAACTTGGAATGATTGTTATTGATGAGGTATCTCTTATTCAAAGTATTTTTAAAATTTTTGATGCATTTAAAAAAATTTATTTATCAGTATTATTAGAAATATTTTCAATGTAATTAACACTAGCATCAATAATTATTTGAATAGTCATATTTTTTTAAATTTTTCTTACAATTAGAGGAAAAACAGACTTTTAGAAGAGAAACAGACAGTTGTCTTAGCATTGATTAAGTTTATGTTCGCACCATTATATATTATTTCAAATTTATTTTTAATTTATCCCATAAAAGTTTAATAGGAAAGAGATCTGGTGATTGGGGAGGGCAAATCATTCTATTCAATATTTGATCATTCTCTAACTCACTCATGTAACTCCTTAAGCTTTAACTAGTCTAATAAAAATTTCTTTTATTTAGGTAAACTACATCTTTATCTGTTAAAATAAATTTATTTTAATTAACTAATTTTTTTCCCAAGATTAATTGTAAAACCTTTTAGGAAAATGTCTTTTTTTTACATAATTTTGCAAATATATTGACTGCATAAAAAAGTTTTGATGTCAGTCTACCACATTAAGTTAGGCATCATTTTAACTCCATGGTTACATAGCAATTAAATAATCTCTGTGGTTGGTGACACAAGCAATAATTAAAATTAAAAGAAATAGTTTTAAAGAATGTTTTATTTGAAAAAACTTTTGAATTTCACGTAACAACAATAATAATTTTTTGCAAAAAATGTTGTTAGATAATCGTTGATCGATTAAATAATTTAGTTTGTGAAACCAAAAAGTGAAAAAAAATTATTTGTTGATCAAAACATTTTTTTTTCCAAAATGCCTATCTAAGATAAATAGCTTTTAGCCTTTTGAGGAGTTTTCTTCGTAGGCTGCAATGGATGAAATAGTTAAATGTTTATATTGCTTACATAATATAATCTTCACAAAAACAACAATGTTGTTAATTGCATAATTTATAAATGATTAAAATAAACATGTCTTAATAATTGTGTGATTATTTAGTGATTAACAAAACAGTATGCTCATGTAAACAAACACTAAATCCTACTTCAACCAATTTATACATTTAGTATGACTTTTATTGAAGAATTTTAATCAAAATACTTTTGTATTACCTAAATTATCCTATAATGCAAAAAAAAATTTTTTTTAAATTAAAGCATTTATTTTTCAATGTTTATGTTATTCAAATAATTATGGACGGTAGTGTATATATTTTAATACATGCATAATAAAATATAATAATCAAATAATAAAAATATTATTAACTGCTTTAGGATTCAACAATGGCTTAAAATAGTAATATATTTAACAAATCACATGTTTGATATGTCAAAGTACATTATTAGTTTTATGTTTTTTTATTCTACAAGATTTATCATTTTGTGGTTTAGCTGCATATGATAGGAGAGGGAGGAGGCAGAGGGGCTCTTCTTGAAATTTTAATTTCAAAGGTTCTTTATAAATTTTGTGAGTAAATTTTAAAATATCTTTGAATAATCTTTGTGAGTAAATTGTTATTCATATTTGCGTAAACAAAAGAATTAGTTTTTTTTTGTTATGTATTCATCACTATATTTTTTAAAATATTTATAGTGCATGTACAAGTTATTGGAATGAGTGCAACCTTTGGAAATATTGAAGAGTTAAAAACATTTCTTAATGCAGAACTTTATATCAATGATTTTCGACCGGTTTGTTTAATAATTGTTTATTTTTAAAATTATTAGTAATTTAAGATTTTGTTGTTTAATAATGTGTGCAAGTAGTAAGCAGACCTGTAAAACAAATTTATGGCTAATGTTATAATTATTAAAAAAAATAAAAAAATAGGTAGTTAAAGAAAAATTTATCAGCTGTAAACATTTTCTCAACATAGAATTATTGTATCTCTTTAAGAACTATAATAGTTTTTCAATATATATATATATATATATATATATATATATATATATATATATATATATATATATATATATATATATATATATATATATATATATATATATATATATATATATATATATATCAGGCTTGGGCAGGAATGGCGTGCGATTGAGCACTATTGCTGACCACGCAAATGATTTTATTTATTGACAACTTGACCATGATTGTATATATGTTTTGATGATTTAAACATTTCAAAAATGCGCTGAATTTAGAAACGCTAATCTAAACTTAAACTAGGAAAAAAGTTTAAAAAAAAATTAACAAATAAAGTATTCCTAAAGGAAAAAGAAACGAAAAAAATTCTCTACAAAAAAGAAATTATATAAGCACTATAATAAAAATAAAAAATAAAAACTTGAACTCCAAGCGAGTTTTTTATGATTTTAATCGCTTTTAAATTAATCTCTTTAAACTCTTCATTAAAGTTAAGCAAAACGCTTTTAAATTAACAAATTACTACTAATGATTGTTTAATAAATGAACAATTTTTATCAAATTTATTAAAAAAGTGTTGTATTTAATATTTTTAAATTGTATAAACATTTATTTTTTCAAAAAAGTTGCAAAAAAAAAATAAATTGTTTCGAAAAATAACGTAGTCTTTTGAAAATAGTAATTTTTAATAATTTCATGCTCTAATTAATGTCTAGTTAAAAAAAGGTTTCCAATTCTTTAATTCGTAAAAATAGGAAGAAAAAAAAAAAATTAAATGCGCCTGCAATTTAAATTAAATAAACTGCCAACAAGCAATTTAATTTAATTTTAATTTGAGCATTGTAACTTAATTAATTAAGCTAAATTAAGCGTTTCACTTAAAAAAATTATTATAAATGATTTCAACTCATTCATTCCAATCGTAATTGGGAAAAGAAAAAAAAAAATGTTTTTTAAAAAATAAAATGTTTGTTTAAAAGATTTTAAAAAATCGTAAACTATAAAAATTGATTGTATGAACATTACAAAATTCTTCAAAACTTTTCCATTGATCAACAAAATACATGCAAGTAAATAAAGTATTTTACATTCTTAATAAAGTTATTTTACATTCTTGTATAATTCACATAAAATGTGTAAAAGCAAGTTGTCGCAAAAGGTTTTGAACTTATTCATAAATTAAAGTAATTTAAAAAAAATCTTTCTAAAATTAATGCTTTGAAAGATTTTTAGGAAAACATGGCAAAATAGTTTCAAATGTTTAAATTTATCATGCCTACTCAAAAAATAATTTATAAAAACATTTTTTATTAATTTACACACGCATTTATGTAAACAATCGTTAAAAACAATTAAATAGTTTTATTTTAAAGCCTTTTGCGTAAAATAAAAACTTTAGAAAAGACCAACAATTAAAAGATATTCATAACTTAACACTTTTTATTGCATTTAAATTGTTAAAACATCAAAACAGCCGTGGTCAATTTTTAAGAAAAAAAACTATTAGTGTGGTCAGTTACAGAGTGCGATCGCACGCCCTTCTTGTCCAACCCTGATATATATATTAGGGGCCTGGAAATCAATTTGATTCACAAATCAATTGCTAATTTGAGATTTGATTTGTAAAAAATGATTTGAGTTTTTTGAATTATTTCTTTGTTTTTATATTATTGTTTAATTTCATACCTACAGCGTTTAAAAGTTCTTATATCATCCAGCACACCTGACCACTTTATCTCAAAATTTAGGTGATATGATTGATGATCAATATAATAGCTTCCAACAAAGTATAAAACAACAGTATATTTCCAAACCTAGCACCACTTTTGATCACTTCAAGGCTAAAAATAGAGATAACTTTCTTGTTTCTACTCATCATCTTTGTGGGTTTTACAATCATGCTGTTTATCAGTTGTAAATCTAGAAATAGTAAATGCTTGTCACAAAGCTACTTCCACTGAAGAAATGATAAGAAACACTGTCAAAATTTGAATTGACTTCAGATAATAATTTAGGAGCTACAACTGACACTATTACTGAGTCGATTGGCTAGGCTGCTGTGCTCATAAACTCCAACTTTATGTGAAATCAGCTTTCCACAACTAACCAATTCTTATGTCACAAATTAGCAAAGCTCATAAAATAGTTGGATTTTTTCACTCATCATCAGTCGCACAGGCAGCTCTCAAAAAGTCAATCAAATTTCTCAAGGAAAATCTGAGTCAAAGCTTTCAATAGATGTGGAAATGCACTTTAACAGCACTGCTAACTTAATGTGATGGATTTAAAAAAATCATAGTTCTATAGAACTTTCTCTAGTTGAGTGTACACAGAAAAAAAACTGCATGAAAGTGCCACCAACTTGTCTAATTGAAACGCAAATGCAATTGTTTGTTAATAATTGTCACTCCTATTTTAAATGCAGTATTTAGTTAAATATTAAAAATTATAACTAAAGCCACTACTATTCAGTGCGAAAAAAAGCATGAGCATTAGTTTAGTTTATCCCTGCATTACAACTTTAAAAAAATTACCTTTTAAAAAATTAATTTATAAAAAATCAATCGATATAAGAAAGATAAGTAAATTTGTTGATGATCTTACTATGCAGTCAAAAGTCAGTAAAATAAAATATATATTGGCATTTTACTTTTAATATTTTAAATGCTAAAAAGATGTTTTAATTGAAGCAGTAGAAATAGTTAAGGACTGACGAAGTCGACTTTTCAAGACCCGAATTTAACTGAAAGACAAATTTAGACCATATGTAAACACCGAATTTAACTGGAAGACGAATTTAGGCTATAACAGTACCCCGAATTTAACTGAAAGACGAATTTAAACCTTTTAACCAAATTTAACTGAGAGCCGAATTTGGATTTCAAAAACACATGTAATTGAAAAAGAAATTTGGACTTTTATGTTGAGTTTTAACTGTTTTTTTTTGTTTTTTTTTTGTAGTTATTAAAGTGCTTCCTTAAGTCCTAACAGTTTTACCACAGAGCACCACAGAGGAGCATTTAACTAGGAAGTTCACGCCTCCTTCCTTTTCAATTTCGCATATTGGACCTCGAATCTCGGATCTCTGTGATCTGATCCAGAACTCTAACCACTGCACCAAGACTGGGTTATCATCCATTATCTTGCATTACCTTAACTTAACATGCATTAGCCAAATTAACATGCATTTAATAATTTTAAGAATGCAGTTTGATAATTCAAAGAATGCAAGTAGATTGATCTTTAGCAAATAGCAGAAAATATTACAAGTTAAAACCTTAAACTTTATTTTATAATTTTAAATATTTTTGCACTTTTGGATAGTTCTGTATAATGTAGACAAGCTTTTCTACATTGTTGTTGTTAAGATTGGTTCGGGTCCAAGTGACAACTTGCCCAGCTGCAGAAAAGACTCTTTCTGAAGAAGCTGATGAACCTGGAATGGAATATATTTTCCTGAAAACGGATGCCAGCTTTGGATATTGTGGTGCCATGCTCTTCCACCACTGTAAAACATCAGTTTCTTTTGCTACCAATGGTAATGAAAGATATTTTTCTAGTTCTGCTTGAATGTCAGAAGTGTTTTTAAATTTTGATTTGAAACTAAGATCATCCTGAGTTAGTGTAGCCAGGGTTTGGTAGGAGAAGTCAATCTCATCAGAATCTAGAATATTAGTAGGTGCTCGCTCCAGAAGTAAGGGTGACTCAATTTCCTTAGCAGATGAGTCTAGATGATGCTCAATTTGAATGCATGTTTTGGTCGTTTCATATCTGTCATGCTTTGTTTTAAGTAGTTTGCCTTGGAAGACTGGGTCTAGCATGTGAGCAATCGCATAGGTGGTGTTCTCCATGCCATCTTCTTTATAGTATTTTGTAATTTGCTCATCCATTGCCGTTGCTAACTGTTTCATATATTCTTCATTCTTTTGGTCAGCAAGTCTGATATTGACATAGCTATAAGCACATAGAATAGTAAATAAGTAAACGCATATGTACCCAATTTCATGAAAATAAAAAATAGTACAACAAATGTGAACGAAAAGTTAATTTAGTTTTAAATAACACACAACTAATTTCAGGTTTATAAAAATATAAAACAAACGAGTTATAATGATTTAAAATATAAGATCAAAAAATTTGCCAAAATAATAAAATCAAAAAAACCTGCGCAAATTGAAGATGCCTGGGATCATTTGATGGACTGTGGGTATTTTGTTAGCAGATATTTTGACAGAAAAATCATAGAACTTTTTCGAAGAACAGGCAAAATCTTCTTTAAGATCTGAAACTGAGTGTGAGATGAAACTTTGTCCTCAAACGGGTGTCCTTCTCGGACTAACATTTCAAGACCCTCCTGGATGTCAAGGACTGACTTCACACTCAAAAACTGACTGTTCCATCTAGTCTTGCAAGGCAAAATAACCTTTTTGTAGGTGATTTTTAAGTCAGTACAAACTTTTTTGATTTTGGTACATGACAATGTGCTTCTGTGCAGATGAGCAGCCAACTCACCACATTTTTCGACAGACTCTTTGATCAGTTTCACGCTAGCAATGCTTTTTGTCACTATCAAGTGTAAAGTGTGATGAGCACATATATAATTTCTGTTTGTAACTGCAAGCTTTTTTCAACTGCCAAGATAATATTTGCACCTCTGTCATTGACGCACAATCTGAAAAATTAGGAACAAAAAATATTATGAGTATTATTATTACTTGTTATTATTATTATTATTATTATTATTATTATTATTATTATTATTATAAAACTAAACAAAATGATAGCAAAAATTGTTAGTTCGTCTAAACTT